CTACAGATGGAAAACTGAGGGAAATAATGCGCCTTTGGAAGTATTTTGCAGTGCAAAATTCGTCCTTTAACGACTGTTTTGGAAACATCTTCCATCGCAGAAGTGATATCGAGTCGGGCAAATTTACTTCAGTGAAGGGTTTATCCTCTAATCGACGAGTATTTCGCATGACTTCGGCAAGATTTTAAGACAATGTATGGAGAAATGGAGCGTACAACAAGGAATAAAAGTGGCCACATCAGGAAGTAAGTAAACCTACTTCTAATTAGCTATTTTTAACCCAGATGCGAGGGTTACACAGCACTTAACATGTTTCGAGTCGGGCACCGAACACCCGTGAGCTTATAATCGATATATTTGAAAAAGTTTCGTTATCTCCATACATTTTCTTATACGAATTCGCAGCCATTGTGGCCTTAGTGCGCACGCGCAACCGCCATCTTGTCCCTAATTTCTGGCAATGCCGTGATGTTTGTCTGAGTTTCGGGTCTATAAACAATCTATTCCCAAGGCCCAAAGCAACCTTTATTGAATCACATTTACTGTATGCCAAAGAAACACATGCCAAAATCAAATGCCAAAAAAATGTAAACGTGATCTATCAAGTATATCAACACACAGAGAAAGTCATGAAATATAAGAAAACTAAGGAGAAAAGTGAATCTGTTACAGTGCCCAACCAGTAAATGGAATGTTTTTTCTACACTAATTCAATTCATCCATGAGCTTGCTCCTAGGAGCCTTTGATTCAAATAATCAATTCATTAATAGAATCTTGAGGGGTACGCTTGACCTGCCTTGACTGTAAAACTATTACGAAAGTAACTCTTGACTGTTATTGGAAACCGATCTGCGGTGGTTGCTGTGGAGATTAGGCCTCGTCGGGCGTGCATTAAAATCGGGCCGCCGGCTTATGATGGGTTTTGTCTTTGTACTAGGCTGTTAAGTAAGACTTAAGAGCTGCTAAGTTTTACTGTGTGAAACCTTAAGTAAAATCTCAAGTAACTTTACTTTGCATCTCATTCAAGGCGGAAAGTTGAAACGATTTAAGAAAGTTTCAAGCGACTTGAAAACCATCCTTATGACCGATTTAGCTGACTTGAGGTTACTTCCGGTTTCTTGAGCTTTGAGAAAGGCAAAATATGTCAATCAATCTTAATTATGTTGCGTGGGAAAATGGCCTTAAGTTAACCTGAAGTAAACAAGAATCGGTTGTGTGTGAAGCGTTATTTTACTTGAAGTAATTAAAATTTACTTGTCTTGAAATATTTCTTAGCTTATTTAGGCTCTAGTGTAAAGACTACCATTGACATTGCGTAATTTCAATTTTCAGGGGACAAAAACTTTGTACCAGAATAATTTAAACAATATCGCATTCTTTTTTACAGTTTTCAAGGGCTATAGGGCAAATGGCAGCAACTAGGAAGCTCTAAGGGTATAGTTCAACTGGAAATACCGCTGGATCTTCTGACTAATCAAACATCCGGATTTGGATTTGCCGAAAGGAACGAGAAATCCGTTTAATTTTAATTTAAATCCGTTTTTAATTTTAATTGAGGGGTCTTAGTTTTCTTAATTTCGAAAACAAAGACTCCTCTCAGTTTTCGCTGACCGAAAACTAACACCCCCCTCAAAACCAATTCGAAAATATATATGTATACTAGGGTATCTAAAAGATAGTAATACTGTTGCGGCACATTCTGTTGATACTGGCATTAGTTAGGGAGTAAGACTTAAAAGAATGACGAAAATGACATTGAATGTCCTATTTACATGTTGGAAAGTACTAGAATATTTACTATCAGTCTATAGAAAGAACTCGTGGGAACGTTGTTTAGAAAATGATCAAGTGGTTATAACTTTGGTTTTCCCACAGTAAATTGTAGGAAATAATAGAAATTCAGATTGTTTATCCATATATTTAATATACGGTGCACGATATTTTCTCTGGAAACACAATACTTTTCTTGCTGTTTGTTGCGCTTTATTAAGTAACAGTTATTTAGCTATATATTTATAGAAAACAACAACGCAAAAAACGAAAAAAAAAAGAAGGAAGGGATAAAGAATTCGGTAGAACTCGAACCCTGCACCTTCCGCTCGACGCGACTACACCCAACCACTACACCACAGAGGCTGAATACGTAATGTTTGGGAAAAGTCTAGATTTTATTCCTTTTCCATGAAACTTCCGCTGGCAAGATGATCGCCAGCCGCACTAACCGAGCTATTAACAGTGAAAAAACAATGTAAACCCATATTCCATGGCAATGAAAGAATGAAAGAACATAATTATGCTTTTCAAAACGCCGATACACGTCCTCGTCTGCACAGTAGGACACAAAACATATGTTTTGTTATCTCGATTTCCGCTGTCATTTTAAAGCGAATGGTCAAAATCACATCCATTTTCGGCTCATACAGTTTCTTAAGAATAGCACTGCATGACATTTTCTCACTTTCACATCACCTTCTAGCGAGCTGGAATTTGTATATCCCCCGTGTTGCGGAGTCGAAGAGCAAATGCTCATCTTTTCGTCAGGTTTAACACCTGGACGAGTCAAAGGCTCTTGAATTGAAATCCAATCCCCAAGTTAACCATCGTACTCATCTGAAAGACTCCTGCGTGTCTTAAAATTTGGTAAGACCTCTAACCGTGCTGTAGAAAATTTGGCACAAAGAAAACTCTAAGTCTGAGCAGCGAACGATGCACTCTCTCACCCACCGAACTTCCCCGTGTTTTTCTTTGAGTTGTTCGTGGCGCAATGCACTCTGGTTAAATGCAATGCATTGTGGTAAAAAGTGATGAATTCGAGAATTCGTCGCCCCTTATATATTTCCTTTAAATCCTGATTATGTTGCTGCTCGCTCCCTTTGGTCGCTCCGCAGCAATGAAGTCGAATTACAACCGTTCAAAGGCTATAATCCATAAAACCATCAAAAACTATATTCCACGTTCTGACATTCTTGAAATTTAAGAGATTCTACAATCGCTACGATGATCATGAAGTCGAATATCTGCGAATATAATTTCAGTCAGCAAACTTGAACAGAATGGACCAGAATGTCTATCATTATATCAAACTTATAATACAAATACAAATACAAAATCAAACTTCAGACACTATGATAAAGAGGAAACATTCCTGTCTCAAAATTGCAAAAACTATTTTTCACAATGGTCTACAGTCTGAGTAGTTACCTATTGCAGCCTCTGAGTTGGTAAAGTACGAATCTAACAAGTTGCTCCAAGTGGCTTCGTAGCCTACAATCAATGAGGAGGTGAGTGGACATTGACAAATCCCATAATTTCAGAAATTTCATTTTTATGACGTCATCACTTTAGTACTCTATTAGTACTCGACTGACTTGACCAGGGGTCAATTTAATAAACTGTAACAAGTGTGATTTACAAGTGCAGCCTTTTTTTCAGATTCTTAAGCAATGGCTGCGCTTGTAAATTACACTTGTAAAAGTTTTTTTGAAGTGACCCCTGATGTTGCGCAGGCTAACTTGCGTGAACAAGCACGGTTTTTGCTGATTAAATATCATCGTCTCCCAACGTTCCTTGCTGCCAGCTCCCGTTGAAGATACTGATGCTTCATAGCCCGTTCCTCTTTTTGTTTTCTTACCTTATTCGCTGCTATATTTTTTTTCTGCCCAGGTGTTATTTCTCTGTTAGAGCACGACGAAGATTATGTCACCAATATCAGGCCAGGGTAAAACGCCACTGACGAAACTAACGCCAACATTGTTAACTATGATGCCAATAGGCGAGAACAGAGATGCTACTCATAACACTCCTTTTTTATATAAAAATATTGTTTTTCCGGCCCAGGCTGAATAGTCGTAATTTCCTGTCGATTTTACGCTGAAAATATTCTTGAATTATTCTTAATTATAAATTATAGCTTATGGCATTTCCGCTTTAGAATGCATTGGGGTTTCCATTAGCAGCATAAATTGTACTGTATTAATAGATTTACAGTACTGTTGAGTGCACTCTTTTCAGGAAAGACTAAAACAGGTCTAGCAAAGGTTTGGAACAATGGTTGATACTATAATACATCAGTTTCTTTAATATGACAGTAAACACTGTAATTTTACTGGAACCGCACTGTAAAGTAAAATTAATCCATTGCAGTGGTCTCACCTAAAGTTCTTAAAGCCGCTTCTTTTGCTCGGAGGTATTCCATAACATTTTTCCTAATGCTTGAAAGAAAAACAAATGACGTAGGACAGTATCTTTAAGCTACTAGTTATTTTCATGGAAACGCACTTACAGTCAAGCCAGGCAAAGCGTACCCTCTCAAGATTCCATTAATGAATTTATTATTCGAAAGTTGAATCCGTTAGTAGTTGTAGATTTCAGATTGATCTCTGCATCTTGCAAGCGTAATGAGCCGTGAATGCGAGGTAGGTATGAAATTTCCACCAGCTCAGTTTTCCTGAATTTAATGTAAATGTCTTCGAAGAAATATTATCCATTCAAAGATTTTCAATCTGACAAAATATAGAGAAGTTCTCGTAAAACATTTACTATCCATTACGCATGCAGAAGTGCCGTTTTGAATTTGACACTAGTTGCGGGAACGACTAACGGATTCATTTTTCAAATAATCGGCAATTCATTAATATAATCTTTTGGGGTACGCTTGACCTGCCTTGATTGTAAGATAACAGTTTCATGAGCCGTGAAGGGGAGCAAAGGATGGCGCAGTGGTGAGAGCGCTAGCCTCCCGCCAATGTGGCCCGGGTTCAAATCCCGGCAACAACGCCATATGTGGGTTGAGTTTGTTGTAGGTTCTCTCCTTTGCTCCGAGAGGTTTTTCTTCGGGTACTCCGGTTTTCCCCTCTCCTCAAAAACCAACATTTTCAAATTCCAGTTCGACAAGGTATCAGGTAGACGAAGAACCACTTTGCGGATACGCTACCTCCAAATATTATTTATTTATTTATTTATATCTACTCATACTTGTCTGCTTTCTGTGCTAACTTTTAGATCGATTTTAACTTTTCCCTGGGTAGAGTTAGGCGGCAACGTTAACCACACGTGCGCTAAGACAGGTTACAACGCTTCGATCACGTTTCACACCAAGCCGTTTTATGGCGGGAAACTTCACCTCGTCACGGGTGAAGTAAAGAACACTTCAACAGGACGGGTCATCTGTAAAGTTAATGGCGAGTGGAATGGAAAAATAGAAATCAGCTTCACAAGTCACCAGGTTTGTGTATATTTAAAAGCTTTTTTTTTTTAAACTGAAACCATACAGGTGACTTTGTGCTTTCACAAATTGCCTATAGGCTCGGGGAACACTGAATTTGTTGTTTCTCCTTTAGGAAGAACCAAAAATTATTGACACCAGAGAACTTCCAGTTTTTCGGAAGAGAGTTTGTCCAGAATCAACTCAAGACGAGTGCGAGTCGCGGCGCTTGTGGCATAAAGTGACGCATGCACTTAAGAATGACGACATCGAGTCTGCAACGTCAGCAAAACACGAAGTGAGTTTTCATTAGCGTATCCAAGCGTCCTTTTTGGGCTCGAGAATTTTTAGCCAATTAACTTACAGAATTACCTCCTTTATTGAAATATAGACGACTAGAAACATATGTATTTCTTTCTACACCTGAGCTCTCTGTGTAATTTTGGGTATGATTGTAAAAGGCGCATACGAAATGCAGTTCTAAGTTGTGGAGGCTAATTTATAGGTTAGCAGACGAGCTTAGTAATGAGATGGGTTGTTGAAATTCCAAAGCGACCCGCATGTCTACTGCACACTTGCAAGGCACGGCCGTCTCTTTTTCAGTCGTTGAAAGTCTTCCCATGCTTGGCACCGGTTACTTTAAGCGAGGCGCGATTTCGATAAATTCGTGCGGAAGACCACCGCAGTCATGCGGATCTTTCAGCATCGCAAGAGGTTGTGACAAAGTAACATCGACCTAAGGGAGGGTTTGTGTTCAGCGTTTTTCGTGAAAACAAGGGTTTGTGGGGGTTGCTCAGCCTCGTGGGCTCAAAAAACCTCCCTTAGGTCGATATCGCATGGGAGTGGGGGAAGGAGGAATAAGGGGGTCCCAAACTCCCGCCTTCCATACCTTGCATTTCCAGTTCCCGCCCGTTTTTCCTTGACTTCCACCCTTTAGCCAAGTTCTCTCCCGCCTCCCATACCCCTCCCGTCCCCTATTCTCCCGACCTTTCTGTCCCCTGTCCTCCCCCGCATAAGAAATTAATTTTTTTCATATGATTTCTTAGGCCCGGTTCAGACGCCGCTCCACTCATGTGCCGAAACTAACTGAGGTATTAAGTACGGCAAAAGGAGCGGCGTCTGAATCAGTTTGGCACGGCACTTTTGATTTGGTGCGGCAAAAACGTTAAGTTCGACAGGGTCTGTCGCATTATTCGACATAGGAGCGGCAGGGGATTCATACGGAGTTCTTCTCATGTGCCCAATCAAATGCATACATTATGATAATTTATAAATCTTCCCATAAGTCCCTACATGAAATAAAGATTAGGTTCGACACACGGTGCGCCGTCTGAATCAGATGTCGCGCCAATGTCGCTCCAAAGTCGAACCAAACTCAGTTAGGTTCGGCACATGAGTGGAGCGGCGTCTGAACCGGGCCTTAATCGCCTAAACACATCTGGACGATTATATGGAAACTAAGCTTTACTTGAAATCCGTTTTTGGGTCGATTGTTATGGATATAAAATGCAAGTAAATAATGATCAATTCGCTCTGCAAAAGAATCCTCTGCGATTTAGTTCGCGTCTAAGGTTTTAGTGATTTGGTTTAGGGCTTTCCGCTGATAGAGGCTTGATGCCCCACTCAATTTTCAATTCTAGCTTGAGGAAAAACAAAGAAAAGAAGCCAGAGAGAGAAAAGAAGCTGGTGTAGAATGGAAAACAAAGGTTAGTTGTTCTTCATTCATATAAAATTGACCATTAGTGAATTCAATAAGAACTTAACGCAAATCGCCACGGCGACCTCAACTACGACGGTCGTGGATGTGGAGTCTTGGAGAGACTTCGTCTCCGTAACCCGCCAAATTTCAACTTTAAGAAAACATTGACTATGCCCCTTTGCCGTAGTAGAGGTCGCCGTAATGATTTGCTTAAATTTCCTAATGACAAGTGGCTAAAATGATGGTAGAATGTTGTCCGTAAAGACTATTGACGTTTCTTCCTTATTTTACGGTACATATTTTCAAGGGAGGTAAGCATACCATACACCTATAATTCATCTAGCCGGGGCAATTTTCCTCCGTCACGCGTGACCAGTAATCTTGAAACTGAAGAAATTTATTCAAGTTTTGTACAAAATTTTTAAACCTTCCACTCTGCAGTCAACCGCTCTACCGACAGGGCAAGTCGTACAGCTATGAATAGTACTGTACCTAAGGTCCGAGTTACGTCTATTCATAATATAAAATGATTAAATCAATAGTAGCATATGTGAATTTCTACTTTCCAACTTATAAAACACAATTTTATTCAGATAATTTCATAAAAAGGTTGTCTTGTTTATCAGTTTCTCTATGTAAAGTTTTTTACACAAAATCTAGACATAGACCAAATTATTTACAGATTAACAGAAGCAAAACATTATTTAAATTCAAATTCAAATATTATTAAAAATCACTTAATATTTAATCTCGCTTTCAAAGCTTTCTGGAAACAGTATAGGATTGGAAGAGGTTGTGTTTATACTTTCAATACTCCTTTCAAAGAATGTGAAGTACTTGGTTATCTAACTGGAATTATTTATTGGTTTTTTCACAGAGGTGTTGTTGAGTGATTTATAACTATCCCACCACTTTTCATAATTCTCTAAAGTTTGGGAAGAAATCTTAAGATAAACTAGTTTACTCTTTTCACAACCCATCTCCTCCAAAAGTTTTTTAATTAAGTAAAAAATACTTATCATTCTCTTTCTACAGTATTTTTTGTTTAGTATTTCCATGATGTGATTGTCTATTTTCATTAGTTTATTGTACAGTTCATATCTTTGTTCATCAGTTAGGTTTAGTCTTTTAGAAACTTGATTAACCTTTTTTTCATAGTGATACTTCCTCTGATAAATACTTTTTTTTCGAAAATGTAATCTATCGTAATCTTTAACATCGTAAAAACCTAATACATGACCATTGGATGCACTGCAGTAATCACAGATTTTAAATCCCAAATGAATAAAAAAACGTTCACTATTTTGACAATTCCAACATTTAACACGTTTACTATCATTCACTTCCTCTATAGGTTTTTTTATTATAATTATGAAATATTTCTAAAAATTTTTTTATTTGATCTTCTGTATAACTCATTTATTATTTATACTTTATTACCTTAAAGCGATCGTTTTTAGTTTTCCCAAGAGAACTTCACGCTTATAATCTTCATTACTTAGAGCTATTTTGTTAACTTCTTTTGAATATATATCATGATTTTCACTTCTTATTATTTTCATTGATCTCATTTGTTTTTTACCCAAAAATAAACATTGAACATAGTCATCAAAATCTAATTTCTTTTTTACAACATTTTTCTTTATTCCTTTACATTTACGTACTTCTTTATCTTCTTCAATTCTAAAACTGTAAAGTTTGGGTCGCAATCCAACGAAACAAGTTATTTGTTTTCCTGCTACTTCATCTTTAAACATTCCTATCACTTTTTTATTAACCCCTGTCAGTATTCCAGGTGGATGATCAGGAGGATAATCAGATGTGTCAAACTTGGTTTCTATGTCATGGAATTTATCTTTGTAAAAATCATCTGTGTGAATATGATACATCAAACTATCGGTATCTGTAAACAATAACTCAGCTTTGTCTTTATATTTCTTTTTAATGTAGTTATAATGAAAATCAAACATTAATGTTTTTGATAAATCTAGAATTGCTTGACCAACATACACCGGTTTATTAAAATACACTTCAGTTTTTTTCATATGAACCGCAATAAGATTTTTATCAAATATTGTTGCTCTGTCAAAGTTTGGACGACTTGATAGTTTGGCAGCTTTCTTACGATTATCAATAAGAAATATATTCTGTCTTTTCCTTATGTTTTCTATTGTTTTTCCAAATACGGAATTATTCATTAGTTTGAAAAAGTCTTTCTCAAAACTATTGGCTGCTGTTTTTCGAAATTCTGTATTTTTTCTTATGTAAGGTTCCATCCAAGAACTTTGATAGAATGATATTCCTCTGTGAACAGTAGTTAGCCTCATTCCCATCTCAACATATTGCCTCAAATTTCGATAATGTACAACATAGTTTTTTCTTGGTTTAAAATGACAAATTAGTTTTTCAACATCATTAACAATCATCTTTTCAGGTGCAAGTGGATAGTCATTATGTGTTTCCCATAGGTTTGAAGGATATTCCAAATCAACTTCAAATATATATCCTTTTCTTCCACGATTTGACATACTATGATTTGTTTTATCCATAATATCCATTACAGTGTCTTTTGTTAGGTTTCTCATCCATTTAAATCCATGTGTTGGAAGTTGTTGTGACATTGCCCATCCGTAAAGATTATTTGCATCAAGATATTGAATATAAGTAGACTCCTCATTAGGATTATAATCTTTCATATATTTGTTATTTACTACTGCATATCTTTTTGATATATGAGATATTCCACCACGAATACCTCGCTCAAACGTCATCAACATATCATAATCGCGCAACAGTTATACAGTATGTTGCCCAGTATCCGGACACTTCAGTTTAAAATTGCAATAACTTTCCTTTGTTAATCGCAAGAGCTCTGAAATTTGGCCCAGGGAAAATCTATCTAGTCCTTAATATGACGAAAGAAAGTATAACTTTTTTGCCTTTGTTTCTATCGCGAAATTAATATTTCTGCAGAGCTCCTATGTTGCCCAGTATCCGGACAGCTGGCCCAGTATCTGGACACAACAATAAAAAATGTAATTGTACATAAATTTCGACAGGCGAGCGACTTAAAAGCTTCTTTTCATATATCCTAAGCTTTAATTATAGTTACTGATATGAAATAAATCTTGTCCGGAGAATGTACACAACTAATTCATCGATTCTGTACAGCAAAGAAAAAACTGTCCGGATACTGGGCACATGACATCAAAACTTAGTGAATGTTTCTGGCTTCCGTTATTCTAAACAAATCGAATTTCAAGAAGAATTAATAAACTTTCTGAAAACCTGACTTCCTTAAGTATCTTCACTTTAAAAATAAAACAGTTTCTTTGAAAATATCACACATTACCCTCCCTTTTCTGAGCAGCACTAACTTTAATGCGCAGTAAACAGCGTAAATATTAGCCATGAAAAGTTTACTCACCTGAACAGGACGGCGTCTTCTGCGACTGTTTCGCAAGCTTTCAAATCGCCAAAACTTTCATCTTAAAGCTGAAATGTTCAGCTTTCATTCGAAATACTTTGTTTACCGATAACTGAAAAGGGCCCCTCAAAAATTGAGTTCTTGTTTAAAGTGTCCGGATACTGGTACCGTCCGGATACTGGGCAACATACTGTAATTGTTGACCTGTTTCTTTGAGACATGCATCCCAAGCTAATCCAGGAGATGTGTAATAATGAGCTGGATCTAGGTTGTAATGTTTGAGACAAGTTTTTCTAAAGTTTTCAAATACATCTGATAATAATAGGACATCAGACTTTAGGTAAAGATTGTGATAATCTCTTATTGATTTACATTCAAAAGTATTCCATACATTAATAGCGTGTTGGTAATCATCATCACTTATTTCTTCATCATTTAATTTTGAATAAAATTCTTCTTTTGGAGGTAATTGTGTTTCGGATAGTTTTTCAAATGATGAAACATAGTCATAAGGATAAACTCCCTTACGAGTTAGTAGGTCTACATTTTCCTTAAATATTTGTTTTGTATTATGAAAATCATCTGGTTGTAAATTTCCAACTAGATTGGCAAGTGATGTTTGAAGAAACTTGAATGAATCTATAAATCGTATTTCAAAATTTATTGGAAAAGTATTTCCAGTTATTCTATCTTTATACTCACCAACCTTAATCTTTTTTGAAAAGGAAATATATTTTTCTTCCGTAGATGGAATACAGTTTAATTCTCCTTCTAAACAAGCAAGTTGTTTAATAATAAATGCGCATCATACCCTTGAAGATTATGAAATATAACTGGAAGAACTAATGGTTTCTTACATTGAAGATTACAATTTCTATGCGCAGCTCCACGATACTTTCCAGTAAAGTGACAATGATCTCTAACTTTATCATTTTGTAATTCTTTACTACAAATATGACAAATTTTTGCTTCATCAAATAATTTTTGTTCATCTCTTGTTAATCTAAGAGGTATTGGTCTACGATAAAAATCATTATATATCTTATTAGTTACTTTTTTAAGTTTTTCTACAAATACTTTTGATATATCTTCATCTTCTTTTGTTTTTGTGTGAACAATAGGTGAAAAGATAGTATTTACTATTCCTTTTATGTAAAAACAAAATCCTGATGGTTCATGCTTTTGATAATTATAATTATACGATTCTTTTGGATTAGGACTACAAGTATTCATTGGTTTTGTAAATCATTCAAAATCAGCATAAACCACAAAAGGAACTGGTAACTGCTTTTCATAATTTTAAAAAAATAACATTGTATCTTGTTTTGGCATTTCTACAGAAACTGTTTCATTATTTGAACAATATTCAATATGTTTTTGTAATAATTCATACTTTGTAAAATGACTAAAACACTTTTTACAAATAAATATTGAACCATTCTTACTTGCAGTTTTTTGCGTCTTAATCAAACGAGTAAAGTTTTTAATTAGTGAATAATGTGAAACACCATCTTCTTCGTACAAAAATAAATCAATAGTATTCAAACAATCTCTCTCCGCCATTCTCAAAGGATAAAAGTTTTTGTTTTCATTAACTGAAAAAACATTGATTCCTGGAAGAGATGGATTAAGTTTTTCAAATTTGGTGATGTCTTTTAATTTCATAGGAAAAGTAATTCCTTCGGTGTTAAGTGAAAACTCATACTTTTTTAAACCTGTTAGTCTTTCTTCATCTCTTTTTTTAGGATGAAGATATCTAAGTATACACCAAAGAAAGCATTTTTCATCTTTGTTTTCAATATTAACAGTTGCTTTTCTATTTGATATCCAATCCGGAAGAGGAATGTAAGGTGACCCCTTTGTTGGATTATATTCAACAGTATGAATTTCAAGTTTATCCACTTCTTTAAAATACCATGCACTTCCAGTTTGTTGATAATTTTCAATACCTCCTTCGATACCAACTATACATGTTTTAATTAATTTGTCAACATCTGTTGATATAATATTAATATATGTTCCTGAAGTAAAGTAAGATTTACCTTCTTCTAATCCTACAACACCAACATTTTGTTGAACAGTTTGTTTTTCCATTATACAAACCAAAATCATCTTAAATTTTATATTTCGATGATATCTGAAAAAATCTTTTAAAGTTTTATAAATTCGTTCAAAAAACTGAAGTGGAGTAAGACCAGGAATTCCTTGAATAATATACTTAACAGCAAAGTCTTCAAAAGCTGATTTTTCTTTTTCAAGTCCTTGGTCATATTCTAAAATAGCTCGCTCAAGAGCTTCACGAAAATAAGAAGGAGTATCTTTGGGGATCTGTCTATTTCTTATACATTCCTCAAAATACTCGTCAAATGATTTTATCTTTTTCTTTTCAGAAGGGGGCGTCTTTTTTACAGTGGCTTTCTTTTTAAAGACTTTTTTTTATATCAATTCCTTCTCTCACTTTTTCTCTAGCTTCTTTTAATTTTTTATATTGTTTAATTAGTTTTCTTCTTTCTCCTAATTCCTTATAATCTTTCTTAAGTTCTTCTTTTTCTTCTTCAATAATATGTCTTATTTCATCCAAAGATAAATTCTCAAATTGTTTATCTGTTATAAAAGGTTGAGAACCTTGGAATCCATCAGTTGATTGGTTAGACATGACGTCTTATAATATTAAGATTATATTAAAAGACGTAAATGTTTAAGTTATAATTAATCACTATCAGTTTCAGAATCTTCTTAACCACTTAATATATCCGCAATATTAACACTATCATCACTATCACTATCACTATCATCACTATCAAAATTTATTTTATCGTAAAATTTACAAAACAACTCATAAAAATCTCTATATCCTAGATAATCATCAGGATGACCTTCGAAGTACAAAAAAAAAAATTTGCGCAAGGGAAAATTAAATGAAAAAAAATTCATGCACGCCAATTAACCCTAAAAAATATTCATGCAATGGCCTAAATAAAATTCATGCAAAGAATCTGATAACGAAAAAAAATTCTTGCAGCTCTAAAATTCCCCTCCCCCTCCATAACTTTTCTAATGGTCCGTCCCTAAGCTTCGGTACTGCACTGTGTAACTTGACGTCTACAATTGCAAATGAATTGCTAGTAAAGGGACAAAATAATAATTAAAAAACTTGTAAGCCTTAAAAAGTTTTTCATACTTCATTTCTTTTAAAGAAATTTACTGCAAAAAACGTGGACGAAGATCCTGTTGCTTGTCAACGTCGGATCTCTAGAAAAGGAGATCTAATCAGCTAAAATATCAAGAACAAAAAACGAGAAGTCTAAAAAGAATACCGCACAGCTGATAACAACGTTTATAAATAACTAAGATAGTACGCGCGCCCTCTGATTGGCCGAGAAATGTGTTTGCATGAGAGTATGTAAACATGTGTGGAGTCAAGATGTTTTGTTCTTCGCGCGCTAATCACACAAGCACGAATATTAAAAAGTTTTTGAGTTGAAACCTCGACACGTCGAGGGTTTACATAACTGTCTCGAATTCTCCCAACCCCTCGAGTGTTTATATTAGGCTATGCAAACACAGGAAAAAAGTGTTCTATTGCTTAAGTATTGCTTTTTTAGATAAATACTGTTACTCTGCCGTTTACAAGCAATTTATTTGTAAAGGTTAATTTTAACAGTGCCTAAGCAAATGTACCGAATTTACGCGAATTAGCGCCGCGGCGCTAATTTGAGAGCGGAGCTTAATACCATAGAAATACCGCTTAGTACCGTATTTACATGAATAAGCGCCGCGGCGCTAATTAACCCCATGGGGCGCTTATTTGATGGAGGCGCTTATTCGAGTAATTACTTAAGAGTTTATTACATTTAGGGCAAATTGTTATTACATTTAGGACAAAATGTTATTACATTTAGGACTTTATTATATTTAGGGTCGTTTATTACATTTAGGCCTTCTTCGTCTGTAAGACGTCACCTTTAGCTTGTTTTGTGTTTCTCACTATCATAAGGTTCAAGTTTTTATTCAACCTTTACAAATCCTCATTTCGGCAAACGAATGCAAAATTTCTGTCGGTTTGTCAGTACCGACAAATTCACTGACAACTTTTAACTTAATTAAGCTAGGGTTCAACTGACATGAACCGACAAACCGACAACTGACAAATTTTGTCGGTTTGTCAGTACCGAAAAAAAAGCGCCGAGATCCTAGTTCTGGGCCTTCAACGGACTTAACGAATTATAGGAAGTGCCTTTTGAACTTTTCTTTAACCTATTCGGCTAATTGTGGCTTTTTTAACAGGTCAGTCATGGCGGGTACTCAAGTCCTGGTACACAGCTGGCCGGGGACCCAGCACGAGGATTCCGGTGCTGGCTCGCAGACGGACTTGACCAGGGATCAATTTAATAAAACTGTAACAAGTGTGATTTACAAGTGTTGCCCTTTTTTCAGACTCTTAAGCAATGGCTGCGCTTGTAAATTACACATGTAAAAGTTTTTTTAAAGTAACCCCGGAGGTTAAGTTTCGTTTGTTGCGCAGGCTAACTTGCGTGAACAAGCATAATTTTTGCTGATTAAATATCACGTCTGGCAACTTTCCTCGCTGCCGGCTCCCGTGAAAGGGAGCAAGGGATGGCGCAGTGGTGAGAGCGCTCGCCTCTCACCAATGTGGCCCGGGCTCAAATCCCGGCAACGACGCCATATGTGGGTTGAGTTTGTTGTTCGTTCTCTCCTTTGCTCTGAGAGGTTTTTCTCTGGGTACTCAGGTTTTCCCCTCTCCTCAAATACCAACATTTTCAAATTCCAATTCGACAAGGAATCAGGTAGACGAAGAGCCACTTTGTGTATGTGCTACGTCCAAATATTATTTATTTATTTATATTTACTTATACTTGTCTGCTTTCTGTGCTAACTTTTAGATCGATTTTAACTTTCCCTGGGTGGAGTTAGGCGGCAAAGTGAACATCACGTGCGCTAAGACAGGTTACGACTCTTCGATCACGTTTCACACCTAGCCGTTTTATGGCGGGAAACTTCACCGCGTCACGGGTGAAGTTAACAACACTTCAACAGGACGGGTCATCTGTAAAGTTAATGGCGAGTGGAATGGAAAAATAGAAATCAGCTTCACAAGTCACCAGGACTCACCAAGACTCCCGCCTTCCATACCTTGCATTTCCGGCTCCCGCCCTTTTTCCTTGACTTCCTCCCTTTAGCCAACTTCTCTCCCGCCTCCCATACCCCTCCCGTCCCCTATTCTCCCGGTCTTTCTGTCCCCTGTTCTCCCCTGCATGACAAGTGTTTTCATATGAATTCGTAATCACCAAACACATTTGGACGATTATATGGAAACTAAGCTTTACTTGAAATCCGTTTTTTGGGTCGATTGTTGTGGGTATAAAATGCAAGTAAATAATGATCAATTCGCTCTAGAAAAGAATCCTCTGCGATTGAGTTCGCGTCTAACGTTTTAGTGATTTGGTTTAGGGCTTTCTGCTGATAGAGGCTTGATGCCCCACTCAATTTTCAATTCTAGCTTGAGGAAAAACAAAGAAAAGAAGCCAGAGAGAGAAAAGAAGCTGGTGTAGAATGGAAAACAAAGGTTAGTTGTTCTTCATTCATATAAAATTGACCATAAGTGAATTCAATAAGGACTTAACGCAAATCGCCACGGCGACCTCAACTACGACGGTCGTGGATGCGGAGTCCTGGAGAGACTTCGTCTCCGTAACCCGCCAAATTTCAACTTTAAGAAAACATTGACTATGCCCCTTCGCCGTAGTAGAGGTCGCCGTAATGATTTGCTTAAATTTCCTAATGACAAGTGGCTAAAATGATGGTACAATGTTGTCTGTAAAGACTATTGACGTTTCTTCTTATTTTACGGTACATATTTACAAGGGGAGGTAAGCAAACCATACGCCTATAACTCATCTAACCGGGGCAATTTTCCTCCGTCACGCGTGACCAGTAATCTTCAAACTGAATAAATTTATTCAAGTTTTGTACGAAATTTTTAAACCTTCCACTCTTCAGTCAACTGCTCTACCGACAGGGCAAGTCGTGCAGCTGTGAATAGTACTGTACCTAAGGTCCGAGTTATGTCCATCGCTAGACATAAGTGCGGTGGATAACAACGTGACTGGTAAAACTTAAGTGATGCTTGCTTGAATAGTCATGTCCTTAACTCATGAGCCTCAGTTTTGAAAATTGATATGGTTAAAATTTGCCTCAGCTAGTCAGAAGCACTACCCAGATCTGGCTAGTGACACGCCATCAGTTTGGAGATTCTGTGCTCGTTCCTCAGACCTCGGAAACCACCGTTGATGACGTCGCGAAATGTCGACTTTTTTCTCAGGCTATTCCTGTTCTCAATTTTAATACGACTTTGTGATAGTGTTACTCGAATGATCACATGAGTTTCACTACCATATCATGTTATTTTTTTTTTTAGATCTTTCATCGTCACGGAGACGGTTGGATGTACAATAATCACATGAAACATTTGCTGAAGCCGAGTGATGAAGAAAATTCTGCCGCAGAATCCGCCGATGTAACTGAGCGATAATTCACTATGTCCTACCTTCATAGATACTAGTAATATCGCTGTGGGTTCTTTTAACAAGGCTCAAGTTCATATTTTAACCAAGGCGTTGACTGTCTGCTGAAAGAGCGATCTCTTTCCTTTGGTTGACACAGGCTGTCCATGTGAGAAACTCTAGATAGACTTAACCTGAGGTCGGGCTCTATTTTCGTTTCGCTTCGAAAATAACATTCCGGCGGGCAAGGAGAATGTATGAGGACCGCTAAAATTGGGCCCGATCTCAGGTTAGGATAGACTGCACACAGTTTCTCTTTTTCTATAGATTCATCGAGGGGGTGGGAGAGGGGGACAGACGCTCGCGAAAGCGGCACGCGCATGATGATTTGCGTGTCTCACGGACTAAGAAAAAAAAAAGAGGCTGCTCGTAGTCTAAACTCTGGATGACAACTATACATTGTACAAATGATACATTGAAGCTGCCACGCGTTACATAACTGTTTTCATCGTTCATTAAACGAGTTATGATAACAATCAAAACAAAAGCAGTAATACCAGTATAGGTTAATAAACGAGCCGTGAGGATACAAAAACATGAAAAAGTTCTTTTATTTTCGTGCTGCCTCATTATTTAAATTTTTTATAAAAATGATCTTGTTAAATTTAAACCAAAACAAGCAAGCTAGTTAGTGAGCGTTTTTGAGATCAAATTCTTTCTCTTTAAAGTATAATTAGCAAGTTTTTTTTTCTTTTTTATAATTTAGGGTTTGCTGCCTTTATTGTCTTCATTGCAATTTGAGAATTTACCTTTCTCCCTTAACATCTTAAATACAGTGGTGTTTTTTCAAAAACGCGTAACAACTGGCAGTGAAGTGGAAGTAAAAATAATTATGATTCCCTTGTACTGTTCTTGGAATTCCGTCGTCTGGAACACAACACAGAGTGTAAATTCTTTTTTATGGTCTTTTCATTGGTTAATTAATAGGAAAAGCATGCACATGTATGCTTTGTCCGATGTAACACAAAAAGAAGGTATGATGCCTCTTTTGGGACTTGTAACTAAACACTATACATGAAATTAGGTGAAAAACGAACGTGTTATGCGAACGCTGGTGAGTAGACAGTTGCAAGACATTCCCTGAAAACGTTTCGATGGTGGAATATTCGCTTGACTAATCGGACGTTCCTAGGCGGAACTCCTGGAGGTCGGATGAACACTCGAAATCCAGTTCTTTTGTCCAAAGCGTCCTGTGCCACTGACTCGCTGCACGACTAATTCTGTGGAGGAGTATGTCGTGTGGTGTCTAAATTCAATGATTTGCTAGGAACCCAAGACACAAAAGTATGCCAAGACACTCAAGCAACCCAAGACACAAAAGTAAGCCAAGTACCTCAGGAACGCCAAGTAGCTGAAGTAGGCCAAGACACTGAAGCAATCGAAGACGCAAAAGTAAGCCAAGTACCTCAAGTACGCCAAGTAGCTGAAGTAGGCCAAGACACTGAAGCAATCGAAGACACAAAAGTAAGCCAAGTACCTCAAGAACGCCAAGTAACTGAAGTAGGCCAAGACACTGCAGCAATCGAAGACACAAAAGCAAGCCAAGTACCTCAAGTACGCCAAGTAGCTGAAGTAGGCCAAGACACTGAAGCAATCGAAGACACAAAAGTAAGCCAAGTACCTCAAGTACGCCAAGTAGCTGAAGTAGGCCAAGACACTGAAGCAATCGAAGACACAAAAGTAAGCCAAGTGCCTCAAGAACGCCAAGTAACTGAAGTAGGCCAAGACACTGCAGCAATCGAAGACACAAAAGCAAGCCAAGTACCTCAAGAACGCCAAGTAACTGAAGTAGGGCAAGACACAAAAGTAAGGCAAGACACTCAAGGAACCCAAGACACAAAAGTAAGCCAAGACACTATGCACTGTCGCAATTTTTAATAATCATCGCACTTTGTAATACCTGTCGCAATTTGTAATAAATACATCGCACTTTGTAATACCTGTAGTAATTTGTAATAAACCGTGTCGCACTTTGTATTAAAAAAGCTGTCGCAATTTCAGTAATAACAGTCCATCGCACTTTGTAATAAACTAAGCTGTCGCAATTTGTAATAATTCCATCCCACTTTGTAATAATTTCTTGAGAGTGATTCAACTTACTTCGTCAACATTAATATAATGCCAAAATATGCGTGGTACTTCATAAACAAAGATGATGACGTCTGCTAGCACGTAACTTCTCCGTTCATTCAAACCATTTAACTTTATTCACAGTTTTTTCAAATTTTTGTTGATTAGTTATGTGACTTACGAAAGGCTGTATTCTTAAACTTTGCTATTGTACTAGGTGGTTTGCATTCAATGGTTACCCAGCGGGTGTACTTCCTTATATGGCCAATACGGGGATGTGCCTCTGGACAGAGCTAGACACACTCGACATAAACGAGCCATTATTAAAAAGCATTTAATTTCCGCAAATCGTAACAGCCATCCTACGTCATTCGAATAAGGACACTAGGAAAGCTCAAGCTTTCCTGCTAGATCTTATAACAGGTTGATACAACACGTGCTGCACCGTCCTTGTCTAACGCGCAATCTTAAAGAAGTAATAGTGGCTTCCATATTTTGGCCAACTTAATCAAACGAGGCCTCAAGATTCAAAATGTTTACTGCAAATAAACAAAAAACGTCACCAGTGGCAAACCACGACAGAAACATAAACACAAAATCCAATTAGTCGCTGGCCAATTCCTTCGTATGTATCTGTTTTTATAAAACTTTCTTGGGGTCTTACACTGAGCCGGCTAGCCATTTGGTCCATTATTCTCACTTGATTTGGTCCCATATAGTTACAAAAGGAGTAGTCATTCCATCTTAAAACAATTTTTTCTATATGGAGTCCTCTAAAGCAAATACCCTGGGGATAGTAAAAAATTCTCCTTCCCTACGTATATACAAATCGTACGACCTTGCAATTCTTCCGAGCGTGTTCAGGATTACGTTTTTTCCACAAAATGGAAAGGATGGAATAAACCATTCATTACTACATGAGTTACCCTATTTAAGGATCAAACCAAAGACACAAGGCCAACAAGGTAAAAAAATGATACCCTATTAAAGGCTCGAGATCCACAAAAAAGCATACCCTATCAAGCGGTACTTGCCTATCTAACCCATCCATATATGGGATTATCCCCCCCGAAGACTTCACATGTCACGTGGCAAGCAAACATGGATTTCGGCGACTAATGCCGGTTATTCATAAATTTTCTGTTGTTAAATGTTTCTTTTGTTATTTAAATATTTTAAAATTTAAACATGGTTCATATCCTTTTGGTGATATGTCGCAAGAAGTTTCAGGTCTTTCATGAAAGCGATTCTAGTTGGTCTCGTGATTAATCAAGGCAGAATAATTCATAGCGGAAGATATGCATGTTTGACCAAACAAAATGTTACGGAGATGTTACGTGCTAGCAGACGTAATCGTCTTTATTTACGAAGTACCTTGCATATTTTAGCATTATATTAATGTTGACGAAGTAAGTCCAATCACTCTCAAAAAGTTATCACAAATCGACAGCCTAGTTTATTACAAGGTACGATGGACTGTTATTACAAATTGCGACAGCTTTTTTTGTTACAAAGTGCGATATGGTTTATTACAAATTGCGACAGGTATTACAATGTGCGATGATTATTACAAATTGCTACAGTACAGGGTCACGTTTTTGTGACGTCATCTGTGCGCAGCGCTATTTAACGTATCTGCCTCTCAAAGTTGATTGATTGTTTGTTGCTTTTAATTTTTTATTTAAACCACCCAAGGAATGTCAATTTCATGTTATTGGTAAAAAATAGATGTTGCCTCCTGCCTCTTATCATTATCCTCATTATTTGAAAATTAAGATGTTGGCAAAATGTACCAGGAAAAATGGTAACACACCTCCTCGTGTGGCCAGGTGTGGCATCTTCTCCTTTTCTCCCCTCCAGCCCTCCCTCCTTTTAGAAAAACAGCATGCACCACAAAGTGATTGAAGAGAATTTCTCCCGCTCTCTTGTCAGACTTGTGAAGCTTTTCATGAAGCGCCTTTTTGAAATAGTTCGTGACACCTATCGGACTCTCCTTTTTTCTCAGCATAATATTTCAGAAAACTCATATATGACCTAGAGAATGGAAGTTGACAAATGTATTTGTTGTGGCTCCATTTTATCTTCTCTCTCTCTTTTTTTTTGGTGGGTGGGTTTGGGGCCTTGGGGGGGGGGGGTGTATGATTTTGTAACAAAAGAACATAAAATTTAAACCAAGGATAAAATTCAGCCACGACATATTGATTCTTATCCCTCCGGTCTGGTACTAAATGATGGGCTGAGATCTTCTTCCTTCTCAGGTGCTTCGTATTTATTCCACATAGAGGCGAACGCGAAACGCCAGTGACTGGTGACGAATCGCAATGGAGCATGGGAAGGAGAAACAAGAGAGGTGCTCGCCCTTTTTCTCCTTCCCGCCTTTCTTTGCGCGCAAACTTTCATAGAAAGAGAGAGACGTCTGGGTACAAGACAAAAAATTTCATCTCCCATTTGAATGTCACAGCCAGTTTCCCGTACAATTAAGTTAAAGTTTACAAAGACAAAATGCTGGAAACAATCTTCATTTATTCAATTCTTCCCTCTGGTTTTGACAACATTTTATAACTCTTAAAATCCTAAAGTGTACTAATTACAATCGGCTTCTCAATCAAAAACTACATAACTTCGAGACTAAAAGAAAACTCGAGCAAAATGGAGTGTGGCTGGCCGGGCAGGTTGGGGTTTTCAACTCTTACGCCTTAGATAAATTTGAAGCTCAGCCATTTGTCGTTCTGTCCAGCCTGGTGGTCGTCCGTGAACTTCGCCTTTTCACACCACTCTCCTGGTTGCATAGTATATTTCTTGCCTCCAAAATTGGCTTCGGTGAACAAAACTACGGACCGGGTCTCAGACAACAAGATAGCAGAGGAGACGCCTGACTTTTTGTCGTCTTGTCCTGTTTCTGCTGGGAATAATCCGGTCAGATCTTCCTGATTGTCTTGAAACCACTACAAGAAAATAATAATAATAAAAAGATAACACTCAGATTATGTCAGTAAAGATGATTGTGACGTTTGGATCAGCATTAGACTTCCTCTTAAATGCAACACGGCTAGAAACTGAAAAAAAAAAAAAAAAAAAAAACTAACCAAGCTGGAATTCAACCCCCCAGGGGGTACTTCCTATAATGACCTATGCGGGGGAGGCTACGCCCGAATGATGTACCTTTTTTAGGCTTTAGGTATTTGAAAGGATAGGGATTTTACCCGGGGGTGGGGTGCTCCCTTATATTTACTTTATAGCTGCAGTTTATAGGTATGTGCTCGATAAGCTGTATCAGCTTTAAAACCCAAGTTGTTTAAATAAAAAAAGATGATGATGATGATGGTGTGCCGCCCCAAAGGGTCTAAACGTTTAGACCCAAGCCATATTTAGAAGGATTTGCAATTTGAGACAATTTGCCCCGAAATGCTAATTTTTGGCAAGTAGGTGTTTTGGACATTGTTCTTTCTGAATATCTTGACAAATCCTTTAAATTCCCAAATTTTATTTTTATGACGTCATCACTTTAGAACTCTATTTCTATGGTTATGACATTTTCTGAAAACTTCGCGAAAAACGTTATAGTGATTTGGGTTAAGCACTGACTCTAAGTGGTTAACTTTAATTTACTTATAGGTTTGTCACTAGAAATAATGTAAAACGAACGCCTCATTTTCTGAGCAATCCACTGTGGTGTAGTGGTATAGGCGATAGAGTTCGGTTTTTTAAGACCGCGGGTTAGGATCCCGCTAATGCCACAGTCAATTTCCCTTTTCACTTCCCAAAAATAATTGAGGGGACTTAGACTTAAGGTAGATTTCCACTGACGCGTTTTTTTGGCACGTGTTAACCAGGGGAACGCACGTAAATTTTAATCGCGTAAACAAAAAATAAGACAAGATATAAAGGGCCAGTTATTTAAACGGAGTTTAGCCAGTGTTTAACAAAACCGCCGTTCTAAACCATTTACAGTTTCCCGAACGCTTTTATATAAACACGATTTATCGTGAACTGTTTCATGAAAGCATAAGGCGTAGATTAGAAAAGCATTTGTCTTCTTAAAATAACCCACTATGGACGAGATTTAAAAGTCCAAAGATTTCCTAAACCGCGTTTTAAGTTAGACTTCGTTTAAATATCCGACCCAAAGTGTTGAGATTAAACGTGAAGTTGAGCGAGGTTTAACTTTTACGCTTACGAGCGACCCTTCATGCGTTGCCTTTATCTTATTTGCGCACGTAAAATTTACGCACGTAAAAATTATGCGACAATGGAAATCAACCCTTAGAGAAAGACTAGAAGTGTAGGTAATAGCATGATTTGTAGTGATATTTGGCATAAATACCACAAGTGATATTGGCCGTTTTTATGCTAGAGACGTTAAAGTCGTCTTAAGACGACTTTAACGTCTAGTATAAAAACGGTAAATAAGGCAGACGACTTTAACGTCTGACGACTTTAACGTCTTCTGTTAAGTGCGTCCGAACGACGCACTTAACAGACGACTTTAACGTCTCAGACGTTAAAGTCGTCTGGTATAAAGACGGGACGTCGTAAACTAGGAAGTTTGCTAGCTTGAAGTTCATTTTTGGCGCCGCTTTAACTCGTGTCCAGTGTCTTCCGAGAGTAGAGCCTAGTCCTTTTTTCAGAAAAATCTACTTTTTTAAATAAGGTCGTCTACTTTTGTGCGTCCCGTTTTTACACTAGACGACTTTAACGTCTCAGACGTTAAATGCGTCTAGACGACTTTAACCGTCTCTAGCATAAAAACGGCCATTTCGAAATTGTTTTACGTAAATTCACGAGCCGTTAGGCAAGTGAAATTTGAGACAATTTTGTAATACCACGAGTGGAATTTATGCAAAATATCATGTACAAATCATGCTATTATTTGTTTATACTATTACCCGCAAAAGGTTTGTAATTTTCACATGTAGGGATTTCAAATTAAGCTGAAATACCACCGCTCTAAGCCAATCAAATTGCAGAAATTTTTCATGTAGTAGTATAAGAGTAGAAAGAGTAGAGACTTAAGAGGGGAGGTTCTGGAGGATGGAATCTAATGCTGACCGGTCAACGACTAGGCTCGATTACCAGTAGCCTCCCTCGCAGGCGTGTTTAGGGGAGCTCGTCTTTCATCCCTCCCCACAAGAAAGACGAGCTTCCCTAAAAACGCCTGCGTGGGAGGCTAGATTACCAGCCGCTGTTCGGGAAAATGAGCCCGCACTCATCCCCAGACCGGACCCGGGAGATGGCGGAAATGGAGACAAGTCAACGATGTGTTTCCAGAATTTCTCAAGAACGCCTTGCGCGCATGCTGAAAAATTAACCGGGGCCACCTTGCGCGCCAAGTTTCTTCAAATCGAGAAGATTTCGCATATTACCAATACAACGAAAAAGCGGTGGAGTCTCCCCGTATAAAACATTGGTGAGTAACGCCCCTGGGGAATTCACTTTATTACTTCGCGGATATGTCAGTCGTGAAATATTAGCTCGTTTCAGATCAAGAGTAGTGTAGCAGCTGCTCGTAAGGTCTCTCCTAATTGGTCGCAGGAAACAATGACATGTCATTCTTTCTATTGTTTTAGTATTGTTTGGAGTCAGGGAAACGCGCCATTGGTGACTTCTCTTCCAAACAGCGGCTACATCTGTTCCGGGGTGGTGGGAGGGGTAATGGCAAACGTTTTAGTTCGAAGTTTGCCGCCCACTTCTGAGAAAGCCCTGGGATTTTACGCCAACGTGGTGATTTATTAACCGTGTGTTATCACCCCCGAGGGGGGAGTACTCCCTTATATGGCCTATACGGGGATATGCCGCTGGACGGGGTATGGTTTTCGTCCTCTCTGTCCTAAAAAGGGTATATAATTTCGCACGACTGTCCTAAACAGGGTATACAATTACGCGCAAGTCTGTCCTAAACAGTGTGCATGATTTGTGCGAGTCTGTTCTAATTATAAACATGCACGATCGATTTTGTCTTAGTGTAAACAGGGTACTAAACAATGTACTAAAATTGATTGTGTTGTCCTAAACGGGGTATATAGTTTAGGAATTTTTTGTCCTAAACAGGGTCAAACCCTCAGCGGCTCACCTATACCCAAATATTGGTCGAGTAACCCCCCCTCCCCCCCTCCCAGGGTTATCACGGTGAGTCAATTTCTGGTAAGTTAACAAATTTTGAAATTACAATAGTTTGGCATGCAGAATTTTGAAATTTCAAGATTTGACCTAACCCGAACTAAAACCCTGAATTTGTGTAGCTAAAAGTATCTGATACATGATTTCAGCTAGGCCGATAAGGCTTTTGTTTGCAAACACATATTGATATTAAAAATTGACTGAACTAAAATGAGCATGTTAAAATTAAGTTATTTCATAATAGTACCTCTCTGAGCAGATTATTGAATTGCAAGATAATTTTTTTACGATAAAGTACTTTCTTTTGAAAATAATGATTCCAGACCAGAGTTGACAAAACAAAGCCTGTTCAAATCAAAGCCATTGAAATCTCTATTCTAACCGGCTTCAGCTGAATCTGAAGTAAAAAAAAAATCTTTGGTGTCTCATAATTGTTCTCATAGGCCTTTGATATATTTGCGTTGTTTTTATTATAAACAGTAAAGTAGAACAAAGAGAACATAGGTTTCCCCAGTTATTACTGAATGAGTTCACTAATTATATTCGTAGTACCTTCCTCTCTCCACGATAGCCAAAGTCCTTAAACAAAATGAGTGAGGGTTTTTCTACCAGGAACACGGAGCCAATTACGCCATTTATGGTTACGTGTTTTTCAACATTTCTTACTGTCTTCACTAAAGGGCCATGGTAGTCTTGGCCCTCGTAGAAGATCCAGTTTCCGGCTTTAACATCTGCTATTGTGAATTTCCCGTCTTTGAGAAGACTCGCTCGTGACTGTGTAAACGTGACCCCTTTTCCTTCTGTACGTGACTTTTCGTTCTCGTATAACGTGATGGACATGGCGGATCAAAGCTGCAGCAGATAGACACGGAAATATCAAACAATGCAATGATATTTACCAATCACCTTAAAAATGCCAAGAAGTGAGAGGTCGAAGAAAGAAACAGTTTCCATTTGTAGATTAACGTCTCCGAATCACTTCTTTATCAATATAATAATTATTATTTATGCGAGGCCTCGTCCCTGCAGTGGTACCCAAACTATAGACGACTAATTTCCACCTATCTTTGCAGAGAAGTTTACTTACCTCTGTTTGCGAAGCGTTGAATGTGGAGAGACAACCTTTCTAGATGTCTATAAAGACACTTGCTACTATTTGTAATAATTCATAGACCAGAGACCAGAACAGTGCATGTCATTCGCTTGCTTTTATTTTATCGCTTTAAGCCTCCAAAAAAGAAATGCTTCAATTTAACTCTCCAGAGATTATCAAAACAGACTAAAGAAGGCTTATACGTACTCAAAATCAGGGCTAAAGGAGTTATGTCTTTAAAAAAGATCCTCGGTGCCCCTAGCTATTGTCAGATACCTATTGACCCTACGGATTACCCTTTGTTCTCGGGACGTGCCATTCGGTCTGCGTTCAGCCACTATCACTGCCAACGCACGATCAAAAGCGATGTTCATTCCACCGGTGAAACCTGCCGTATTAATTCTCATCTAACTTGCACTACTTTCAGTGTTATCTAGTACATGATTTTCAATGTCGCCTTTGTAATCTACAATACATTGGGGGAAACAATACGTCGCCTCAAAGACGGCTTCAATGAGCACAGCAGGCGACATGGTACAGCAATTACATCCATACAGAAGCTTCTCTCTTCCTGTTCTTTCCCGGTTTAGAGCATTCCGTGATTGTGAGTCCTGCGCAAGTCTTGCGTAGCAGGTCAGAGTTGTCGCAATTTTTTTTTATTCCCGCGAAACTCGTGCCATTTGACGACAGACCTGACGATTAAATCTGCTTTAGCCTGCGTAGCAAGCGTTTCTGTGCGGTTTAGGAGCAGAGAACGAGGAACTTAGAGTCAAAGACCGCGCGAAAAATGGCGCAAGTAAAGAAAAGAAGTAGTTTGGCCTTTTCTCCGTTCATGGAGGAAGAGCAAAGAGCAAAGAGGCTGTGCTGTTGCAATCTACAATGAAGGAAAAAAGTGTTGAGACACTTCCGTATTATAGCCCCTTTTGCATAGTGGACATACCTATCCCCTTCCGCTGTCTACCCCAACCCCTTCCCCCCAAAATCAATGTTGTATTTTGGACCCTCAAGTCTTTCTTTTACTACTTCAGACAACATTGATTCGGGGGGTGAGGGGATTTACGGCGTTTATAAGGAATGAAATAATAAATGAATTAAATGTTTGACAAAAGTCCCTGATTTTAGCTAAATAGAGGTTTGCAATAATTGCGCAACGTTTGTTAACGGTTAACATTCAACTCAGTGATAACGTTTCATGTTGTTAAGGAAGGTTTTGATTGCGAACAGCTGTACTATACTTTGTGCAAGACTTTTCGGTGAACTTTGATCACGGATGACAATCATGCGACCGGATATCGTCTAATCTACAGTTTATTGACAGCTAAATGCATTTATTAAATGGATGTATCTATTTTAAAATCGACTACAGTACGTATTTCAAGGACGTAACCCAATACTACTATTGTCAATTTAGTCCGGTGTCCGCGCCCTTAATAGAGGTGTCGGCTGAATAGAGACTCGTTACAAAGAGAAGTATCAGACGTTACTTTCGGGACCCGGCTTAGTGTTCGCTTAATAGAGGGTGTCCGCTTAATTGGCAGGGGCACCTAACGAGAATATACTTCAAAACCACTTAAACATAGTATTGTTAAACGTATTTTAGAATTTAAATGGTAGATATCGGCATCTTTCGCCTTTAAATCGGCTATGTCACACTACGTGCTATCTTTTTAAAAACCAAAAACGTTTTTCGCATAAATTGAATTCAAGAAAAAATGGTCCAGTTATTTGTTTCAAGATATATTTAGGCACTGAAACTAAATTTCCCACCGTCTATTGCAAGAGATGGCAATGGTGGACATGAATCGAAACTTGCCAAGATTGGCCGAATTTTTCATCCCTGGTGTTTTTTTATGCTATCAGGGGCAAGCAACGAGAATGTAGTTCAAAACCACTTAAACATAGAACTGTTAAACGTATTTTAGATTTAAACGGTAGATATAGGCATATTTTTATCCCCTAAAAATTTTTCATCTGTTCGGATTTCTTAGCTGAAAGTCCAGTGATCCGAAAATTATAGGGATCAAAACTTACCTTTTCGAAAATTTCAGCTAGAAAAAGGGCTCCCGAAAATTCTAGCTGACCCTTTTAGGGTAAAAATCCGTTGAAAATGGGCAATTATATCAATTTTAGATGTTCGAAAATCCTAGGAGAGGCAGGCAAGCATGACATTTTACAACAAATGTTCTGAAAATTGTCGATCTCAAATCGTCTTCCGAACAGATATTTTCGGAAAATTAACGTTACGTGCCCCCTAATTGGGGGTCCGCTTAATAGAGGTTTCACTGTATATTACAGAAACTTTGATTTGCAAAACAACTATACTCACTTTAACTTGCACACGCACCAATGTTATATAGCTTTATCTCTGCAGAAGTTAACACCGTGAAGTCTCCAGTGGAAGTAAACTAACTAAGATGAAAACGCTAAATTTATAGTTAACGAAACGTGCCAAAAATTATAACGTATTTCCTATGCGGACATTACATAAAAGGACAGGAAATGTAGCGGTTGGCTTATCAATTAAAAACCATTAATGCAGGCGATAATCGATTTATAATAACTACCGTTAGCACGTTCGAGCAATTAAACGAGGAATTAACGACAAGGAATTACGTTTCAAAACCAACAAACATTTTCGTAATTTGTCCTCCTACTGACTGGGAATTATAAATACATTTAATGCTGATCGAGTATCATAACTGTATCTGTTTTTCAATTCATATTTAGGACCTAGAAATGTAGTACTTTTAACATTCGACCAGTAATTTTAATTCAGTGTGGTAGTCTCATCAACTTCTTTCTCTTAGTTTTAAAAATCTGATGAGGCTGCTCGGTTCATGGTACTGCACAAACTGTTAGCAACTTTGTGGCTGTAAAATAAATTAGTATCACCGGCAAAGATAATGTTTTATGAATTGAATCATTATTTTCATTCCGATTCCTTTAGAAATTTTTATATAACACATTTTTTGTTTTCCTTGAATTTAGGATTCCTTTTGATATCCAAGGTACTCTCTGCCCGTTATCACTTTTCTTTTTACTGGGTCTCGTTAATGGTACGTTTTTGTTCAACAACTGATATTATTTAGTGTAAAAGTGATCTTAAAACCGTCTTACCATAAACATCAATATTCAATCTTTACATTCCAAGTCTTGGCAGAGGTAATTTAGCATTTTATCATCAATTAACCTAAATTTGTTTTTTGTTACCCTTTTGACGTTTGAGCTTTTGCAAGCAAGTTACCCATTGCTGCGAACACTAGTAAGTGATCCGAAAGATCTCACGATAAAAAGGATACCACATTTATTGTTCTCTTCTATTTTGTGTACAAATATATTATCAATCAGGGTCGCATTAGTATTTGTTATTCTTGCTGGCCTTATGATTATGGGTAAAGTGATGAAGAAAAATATTTGTAATGAAGTTATGAATATATGAAAATCATAAAATTATGTGAACTGCGGAGTGAAGAATTAAATGAAGGAAGATCATCGCAGCTATACGCAACTTTTGGAGTTGCAAAAAGAAAGCCTGAAAAAAATAATTCAGGCTTGTAAGGGATTCGAACCCTTGACCTCTGCGAAACCAGTGCAGCGCTCTACCAATTAAGCTAACGTGCCAACTGGGAGCAGGTTCCAGCTGCTTTCAGTTGGCTTGTCAGCTTAATTGGTAGAGCTCTGCACCGGGTATCACAGAGGTCAAGGGTTCTAATCCCACTTATGTCCAGGTTTCGCACGTAGCAGCAAAAATTGCGATTTTTCGTGTGCGATTTCCCGCAGTTCTTTGTCATGCGAGTAAGGTTCACTCCTCTCGTGTTTGTGATCACTTATAAGAGCCGTTTGCCGATTTTACCAAATTTGCTATACTCCAAAAAGTTTCCGCTTTACTTGCCATTTTGGCATTTCGCTGTCAGCGCAGTTAAAGCATATCTACACGCAAAAGCCAACGCAGCCAATCTTTAAATAAAGGTTTGTTATCTAATGGTTCGAGTCATATATTCGTGAGATTCCATTGTATTTCAAGTTTCATGTTATGCGTTCTTTAACTTAAAAGTTTTTGAACAAGGGATCAACATCCTTGATGTATTTTTCAACTGGTCAAAGATATTTATTCAGATTACATCTTGGCCTCTTTCTGAGTCCCAAAGAAGTACTTAAGACGGAATCCATCCGGAAACATTGACATTGAGTAATTTCAATTTTCAGTGGACAAAAACCTTGTGCCAGAATAATTTAAACAATATCGCATTGTTTTTTTGCATTTTTCAAGGGCTATAGGGCAAATGACAGCAACTAGGAAACTCTAAGTGTATAGTTCAACTGGAAATACCGCTGAACCTTTCGACTAATCAAAAATCCGGATTTGGATTTGCCGAAAGGAACGGGAAATCCGTTTTTAATTCTAATTTAGGGGCCTTAGTTTTCTTAATTTCGAAAACAAAGGCTCCTCTTAGTTTTCGTTGACGAAAACTACCCCCCCCGACAAAACCAATCCGAAAAATATACATGTATATGAAGTCGAATTACGACCGTTCAAAGGCTATAATCCGTAAAACAACCAAAAACTATAATCTGCGTGCTGACATTCTTGACACTATGATAAAGAGAAAACATTTGTCGTGACTACAAAATTGCAAAAACTATTTTTCACAATGGTCTACAGTCTGAGTAGTTACGTATTGCAGCTTCTGAGTCGGTAAAGTGAGAATCTAACAAGTGTTCATCTTGAGTGACTGAGTGGCTTGAATGGCTTTTGGCAATTGCGAAGTCGTACGTGTGGCTTGCCCTGCACGGGGTGAAAAACAAACCAACTACGTGACAGACAAGTCACACGAACTAAAAGCCATGCAGGAAAGAAACCTCTACTCGCAGAGTAATGGTGCGTTGCTTAGTTTAGTGGCAGTCTGGTAATCGTATATATCTAAAAGTCTTAAAAGAATAGATCACGTTCAAAGGCATCACTCGTGTGTAAAGTAAATATTATAGCGGAGCTCTCTCGCGCGCGAAGCGCTCGCAACGGAGCAAATGGGTAAGAAAATTTGGTAATCTTAGCCGAGAAAGGAAACCACGTATATCCTCTTGTATTAAATTACTTATCTAATCACGTATAATCCTTCCATTGATTTTCCACTGAAAGAAACGTAGTGTATGTTTAAGTCTAATGATTGCGAGTCGGACTTTGTCGAGTCTTTGATCCAGTCATAAGTTAGGGCAATGAGTTAGAGCTTGTTTCTACATAAGTTGAGTCCTGTTCCTAACTCCGAAGTGGCGTTAACTCAAGAATCGACCGAGCAAAAGCAAACACTGAGTCAACACTAAGTATAGAAAACTTCCAAAGCATAGCTTTAGAAAGAAAATACATGATTGCTTACTTCAGATCCTTTCACAGACAGACGCCTATCCTGATCTACCTTCCTTATTAGGACAAATGAAACATATTCACAATCGTCCGTAACTCACCCACTCATTATCTTAGCCTGCGTAGCAAGCGTTACCAATCGAGCTATTGTGGGAAAGTTAGAGCAGGAGCAAAAAAAAGGCATTTTTTTTTTGCTCTTGTCCCAACTTTCTCGACGAACTCGCACGGAAACGCTTGCTACGCAAGCTATCATTATCTTTGCAATCGTCTTAATCAGTGGCGGATCCAGGGGAGGGACCCGGGGGGTCCGCCCACCCTTATTTTTGGACCAAACTGAGGCCCGAAGGGCCGAAAAAAATTTTTATAAGACCCGGCCGCCCCCTTATCTCAGGATCTGGATGACCGCCCCCCCCCCTCCCCTTATCTGAAGATCTCGATCCGCCACTGTTGATAGTGTGCTTGTAAGTTTCAGGGGCACCCAACGACTGCTTTCTGTAAAATACCGTAAAATTCCGAAAATAAGCCTCGGGGCTTATATTTTCCAAAGGGCCTTTTTGAGGGGCTTATTTTTGGAGGGGCTTATATTCGGAGGGGCGTATCTACGGAGGGAAATTTGCGTTTCAAAATCGATTGGGCTAACCTTATAGTTAGAAGTAAATTTACCACTTTTGCTTTGTTTTTCTTTGCATTTGACGGCAATTTTCCAAGTACAAGCCCCCCGGGGGGCTTATATTTGGAGGGGCGATTTAACGGAGGGTTTTTTCCGTACGAGTTTGGGGGGCTTATATCTGGAGGGGCTTATACATGGAGGGGCTTATTTTCGGAATTTTACGGTATATGTTCGGAGAAGCAAATATTTCCTAGAATTTCTATCACTTAAGGACGGCTAAAAATTTCTAGATGACTGTTCCATTCATGGCCAATTTTCAAATCAGAAAATATCTCACTTTCGTAATACGTCAAATTTTGTCTAAACTTTTTGGAAAAATAATACTCAAGCCCTTGTAATTTCTAAAAGACTCAAGTTACCCTAGGATGACCGAACAGATACAAATTTTATAGCGCCAGCGCCGCTTAGAATGCATTTCTAGAGATCTAAAAGTACTCTGGATAGCCTAAAAAGTGTTTTCAATGTATTTAGGAGGAAATCATCGTTGGGTACCCCTGGAGTCTGAGTTCTGTATTCCAGTTAACCTCAGTATTGTTTTAACTAAAGTTTTCTTCTGTTTTTAATTACTTTTATATTTATATAAATTACTTTCGTTTACTTGTGAATTAAATACAGTTTTTAGTGCGTCAGTTTTTTTTTTTTTTTTTTAAAAAACACTGCCTACATAGACTAGCCTTCGCTTAATTGCCTTCGCTATTTTTGGGCAGTGAGAACATAAAATTGTAAATTTGGTTTAACCAATACTAATGAAATGAAATAAAATGAAATGAAATTTGTATCACAAAGTCAAAATTAACAGTTAGCAAAACTTTGTTCTATAAAGCCATAATTAGATAATAGCATCATGAATAAAAACAAATCTATAATTTGTTTTACGTAAGGACGCGTCGCAGTTTTTCAATTACAAAACCGTCGTTTACTTACACCATGGCTATTAAAGTGGAATGGCGATGAAACTAGCCTGCGCGTTCTCGCGAGACCCGTTTCACTCGCCCAAACAGGAGAGCTTGCTCGCAGGCTACGATGAAACCCGTTAGACTCCTTTGTTATATGTTTTTGTCAGCTTTTTTGGACCTGACCGTGCACAATGTTCAATAGCATTCCTATCATTTTGAAGTTACTGACCAATAGAAACATCGCATCAATTTATTCAGTCTCAATTTGTGAACAAAAAACAAAGGATTGTGCATGGTCAGGGAGCTTCCAACATAAACTACAACACCATTGTTTTCAACTTTGATGTTTGCCGGCTTTCACAACCAGCCTCCAGTC